CCCAGGTACCTATTTACTACTAGGTGAACAGTGACAATCAGGGCGAAAGAAACTCTGCCCATTTGTTTCCGTCTCCACCGAGGATCGAACCCGGAACTTTAGGACTACGAATCCCAAGCGCTGTCAGGCCCCTGTTTTCAGGTTAAGTAATTTACAAGTGAATTAAAATAATGTTCATTTCAATAACAATTTGTGATGAAGGTACAAGGACACTACCTGGGCACTTCACTTGAGTTAATGTTACAGGTTATGGTCACTAGGCCAGTACAGTAATTACCGTGGTAAGGCGTTAACTTTGTTTACACAGCACTTGAGTGTACAATTCAGTCTAACGCTTTAAATACCTTTCAAGATGATGATACGAGCAACAAAAGGACATTGGGTTATTTTTGTGTAAGATATCAGAGTTATGGAGCAGCAGGGGGACGTAAGGTTCTCTTTGTGTAAGATATCAGAGTTATGGAGGTTATCTTGAGGTTATCTTGAGATGATTTCGGAGCTTTTAGTGTCCCCGCGGCCCGGTTCTCGACCAGGCCTCCACCCTCAGGAAGCAGCCCGTGACAGCTGACTAACACCCAGGTACCTATTTTACTGCTAGGTAACAGGGGCATAGGGTGAAAGAAACTCTGCCCATTGTTTCTCGCCGGCGCCCGGGATCGAACCCGGGACCACAGGATCACAAGTCCAGTGTGCTATCCGCTCAGCGACCGGCTCCCTGGAGCAGCAGGGGGACGTAAGGTTATCTTTGTGTAAGATATCAGAGTTACCGAGCAGCAGAGGGAATTAAGGTTATCTTTGTGTAAGATATCAGAGTTACCGAGCAGCACCAACTCGGTAATGCAGTAGTGGTTGAGATGAAAGTCTCACCCTAACCTAACCTAACCTAACCTCTCCTAACCAAACCTAACCTAACCTAACCTAACCTTTCCTAACCAAACCTAACCTAACCTAACCTAACCTAACCTAACCTAACCTCTCCTAACCAAACCTAACCTAACCTAACCTAACCTTTCCTAACCAAACCTAACCTAACCTAACCTAACCTTTCCTAACCAAACCTAACCTAACCTAACCTAACCTAACCTAACCTAACCTAACCTAACCTAACCTAACCTATCCAAACCAAACCTAACCTAACCTAACCTAATCTTACCTAACCTAACCTAACCTAACCTAACCATGGGAGCCGGTCGGCCGAGCGCACAGCACGCTGGACTTGTGATCCTGTGGTCCTGGGTTCGATCCCAGGCGCCGGCGAGAAACAATGGGTTTCTTTCACCCTATGCCCCTGTTACCTAGCAGTAAAATAGGTACCCGGGTGTTAGTCAGCTGTCACGGGCTGCTTCCTGGGGGTGGAGGCCTGGTCGAGGACCGGGCCGTGTGGACACTAAAAGATCCGAAATTATCTTAAGATAACCTCAAGATAACCTATCCTAACCAAACCTAACCTAACCTAACCTAACCACATACTCAGGTTTTGACAAAGCACTCAGGAGTTACCAAAGACTTTGTGTAAATTACATAAAATTCACAAATACACGAGAGTGGACTTTTTATCCTATTTCATCTTATTCTTTCCTATATCAGTTACCTGCTCCTCACCTCTTACCTCACTCTATTACCTTATTCATTTGCCTCTCCCTCCCTCTCCCTCCCCAGGTAATGGCGCAGTGTTCTTGTCTTTCTTCTTTACGGGCTATTCATGCCCGTGCCGCCTCTTAGGTGGCTTAATATTCATCAATCAGTCAATCCTCTACTCTATCACAAGACTTGATAATGGTCCAGGACGGATCGAAACGTCGTCCTTCCTTCATCGTCTGAGGTGTAGTTTGGTCATTATAACTTCAACTACGTTGTCTCATCGTCTGCTTAAGCAGGTCATAATATCTTCCCTGGTGGTTGTTGTTGCTGTTAAAGATTTAGCTACTCGGAACAAGGAACAAGTTGCAAGTAGCACGGGCTATGGTGAGCCCGTAATGGACTTACCTGTCACAGGAGCGGAGTGATCTTCCCTGAGGAAGACATTCTCAAATATACAGATACTTGACGAACACCTCACAGCGTGAGAGAGGAGGGAGGAGCAGGAGGAGGCGTGTGAGAGGGGGAGGGAGTGTGAGAGGGGGAGGGAGTGTGAGAGGGGGAGGGAGTGTGAGAGGGGGAGGGAGTGTGAGAGGGGGAGGGAGTGTGAGAGGGGGAGGGAGTGTGAGAGGGGGAGGGAGTGTGAGAGGGGGAGGGAGTGTGAGAGGGGGAGGGAGTGTGAGAGGAGAGAGGAAGTGTGAGAGGGGGAGGGAGTGTGAGAGGGGGAGGGAGTGTGAGAGGGGGAGGGAGTGTGAGAGGGGGAGGGAGTGTGAGAGGGGGAGGGAGTGTGAGAGGGGGAGGGAGTGTGAGAGGGGGAGGGAGTGTGAGAGGGGGAGGGAGTGTGAGAGGAGAGAGGAAGTGTACGTGGAAAGTATGAATAAAGGAGAGAGCCGGAGGGTAAGGGAAGGCTGGGGTAGAGGAGTCAGGGTCGACACAGTGACCTCGTGGCCGGGTTCGACTCGAGGTCAACGGCCCATGACCTCCCCGGGGTCATTTACACCTCTCGGAGCAACTCAATTAAATTGTTAAAACATAAATGAACGAACAAGTCAATATTTGTTATCATTATTTTCTTAAAGGACGATAAAGTTCTCCAATATATTATATATGATTTGTTTTTGTTTATTTAATTTGTGTTAAAACTAACATAGAAGTTTGATCAACCCTTAACTGACCACCCTAACCTAACCTAACCTAACCTAACTGACCACCCTAACCTAACCTAACCTAACCTAACCTAACCTACCCTAACCTAACCTAACCTAACCTAACCTAACCTAACCTAACCTAACCTAACCTAACCTACCCTAACCTAACCTAACCTGACCAACCTAACCTAACCTAACCTAACCTACCCTAACCTAACCTAACCTGACCAACCTAACCTAACCTAACCTAACCTAACCTAACCTAACCTAACCTAACCTAACCTAACCTGACCAACCTAACCTAACCTAACCTAACCTAACCTACCCTAACCTAACCTAACCTAACCTAACCTGACCAACCTAACCTAACCTAACCTAACCTAACCTAACCTAACCTAACCTAACCTAACCTAACCTGACCAACCTAACCTAACCTAACCTAACCTAACCTAACCTAACCTAACCTAACCTAACCTAACCTGACCAACCTAACCTAACCTAACCTAACCTAACCTAACCTAACCTAACCTAACCTGACCAACCTAACCTAACCTAACCTAACCTAACCTAACCTAACCTGACCAACCTAACCTAACCTAACCTAACCTAACCTAACCTAACCTAACCTAACCTAACCTAACCTAACCTAACCTGACCAACCTAACCTAACCTAACCTAACCTAACCTAACCTAACCTAACCTAACCTAACCTAACCTACCTTATTCTGACCCACCTGACCTACCCTATCTTAACCTGACCACCCCTAACCTACCCTACCTTAACCTGACCTACCTAACCTACCCTATCTAAACCTGACCTCCTAACCTACCCTATCTTAACTAGAAGTACCTAACCTTCCCTATCTTAACCTGACCACCTTTACCTTCCCTACCTTAACCTGACCACCTTTACCTTCCCTACCTTAACCTGACCACCTTTACCTTCCCTACCTTAACCTGACCACCCTAACCTACCCTATCTTAACCTGACCACCTAACCTACCCTATCTTAACCTGACCACCTAACCTACCCTACCTTAACCTGACCACCTAACCTACCCTACCTTAACCTGACCACCCTAACCTACCCTACCTTAACCTGACCACCCTAACCTACCCTACCTTAACCTGACCACCTAACCTACCCTACCTTAACCTGACCACCCCTAACCTACCCTACCTTAACCTGACCACCCTAACTTAACCTACCTTAACCTGACCACCCCTAACCTACCCTACCTTAACCTGACCACCCTGACGCAACATAATTAAGTCAGTAATTAATGCTCTTAACAAGAATATTATTTGAACTAAACCAATTTGAAAAGAAACGCTTAAAAGTAACGAATATCACTTGGCTTGTTAGACAAATCTGACCTTGCATACTAGGCCAAGTAGTGCGGTTTTTGACTATTCTGGATATTCCATGTTGGTTATTTCAACACAGAATATTCAGAGGTTGCCAATACTGGGCTATGGGTAGATCCCTACGACAGATAGTTTCATCATCATCTACGGGCTCACCATAGCCCGTGCTACTTGTTCCAAGTAGCGAATCTTAAACAACAACAACAACAGCAAGTTTCATCAGAAATGTTCCAAGAATCGCATAAAATAATTTAATACCTAACTGGTTTCAGTCTTCGCTCTCTCAGTAGGAAGATAATTATTGTCATAGACCAGTATCAACATAAATTATCTATGGAAATTGATACAATTAATTAATTTTAGAACGTTAGGGACCAGCAGTAAAGGGATAGAAACATAAGGCTCTCGTCTAACCCACATAAGTACCCAGAATGAATGATGTGTTCTCAAGCATCTTCATACTTCACCACCGTCATGTATAAATCACCTCCAATATGTATACTAAGATAATTGATATACCAATACTTCACAGTAAAATAACTATGACATCAATGTATCACTTTAGGGTAACTGTCACATTAATGTATTACTTTAAGGAAACTGTCGCATCAATGTATCACTTTAAAGTAACAGTGACATCAATTTGTCATCGTAAGGTTATAATAAAATTGATATAAAAGAGTGCAGCCTGCGTTAAAATAAAGGAAATATGCATCTAGACCAATGTACAGCAGAACACACATTTAATAAACTTAACAGCATACGTGTGTGGAAGTGTAGACGCCGTTGATCATGTATATATAGGACCTTATAGATCTCTTGACTGAAGCGAGTGTTGGCTCCATCAAGACACACCTTCGACTTTTTATTTTCTTCACACCTAACTACAAGCTGGGCGTCGCCTAGGACCCACCCAGGAGCTGGGCGTCGCCTGGGACCCACCCAGGAGCTGGGCGTCGCCTGGGACCCACCCAGGAGCTGGGCGTCGCCTGGGACCCACCCAGAGGCTGGGCGTCGCCTGGGACCCAACCAGAGGCTGGGCGTCGCCTGGGACCCACCCAGGAGCTGGGCGTCGCCTGGGACCCAACCAGGAGCTGGGCGTCGCCTGGGACCCACCCAGAGGCTGGGCGTCGCCTGGGACCCAACCAGAGGCTGGGCGTCGCCTGGGACCCAACCAGAGGCTGGGCGTCGCCTGGGACCCACCCAGGAGCTGGGCGTCGCCTGGGACCCAACCAGAGGCTGGGCGTCGCCTGGGACCCACCCAGGAGCTGGGCGTCGCCTGGGACCCACCCAGGAGCTGGGCGTCGCCTGGGACCCACCCAGGAGCTGGGCGTCGCCTGGGGCCCAACCAGGAGCTGGGCGTCGCCTGGGACCCACCCAGAGGCTGGGCGTCGCCTGGGACCCAACCAGGAGCTGGGCGTCGCCTGGGACCCACCCAGAGGCTGGGCGTCGCCTGGGACCCAACCAGAGGCTGGGCGTCGCCTGGGACCCAACCAGAGGCTGGGCGTCGCCTGGGACCCACCCAGGAGCTGGGCGTCGCCTGGGACCCAACCAGAGGCTGGGCGTCGCCTGGGACCCACCCAGGAGCTGGGCGTCGCCTGGGACCCACCCAGGAGCTGGGCGTCGCCTGGGACCCACCCAGGAGCTGGGCGTCGCCTGGGGCCCAACCAGGAGCTGGGCGTCGCCTGGGACCCACCCAGAGGCTGGGCGTCGCCTGGGACCCAACCAGGAGCTGGGCGTCGCCTGGGACCCACCCAGAGGCTGGGCGTCACCTGGGACCCAACCAGAGGCTGGGCATCGCCTGGGACCCACCCAGGAGCTGGGCGTCGCCTGGGACCCAACCAGAGGCTGGCCGTCGCCTGGGACCCACCCAGGAGCTGGGCGTCGCCTGGGACCCACCCAGGAGCTGGGCGTCGCCTGGGACCCACCCAGGAGCTGGGCGTCGCCTGGGACCCAACCAGGAGCTGGGCGTCGCCTGGGACCCACCCAGAGGCTGGGCGTCGCCTGGGACCCAACCAGAGGCTGGGCATCGCCTGGGACCCACCCAGGAGCTGGGCGTCGCCTGGGACCCACCCAGGAGCTGGGCGTCGCCTGGGACCCACCCAGGAGCTGGGCGTCGCCTGGGACCCACCCAGGAGCTGGGCGTCGCCTGGGACCCACCCAGGAGCTGGGCGTCGCCTGGGACCCACCCAGGAGCTGGGCGTCGCCTGGGACCCAACCAGGAGCTGGGCGTCGCCTGGGACCCACCCAGGAGCTGGGCGTCGCCTGGGACCCAACCAGGAGCTGGGCGTCGCCTGGGACCCACCCAGAGGCTGGGCGTCGCCTGGGACCCAACCAGAGGCTGGGCGTCGCCTGGGACCCAACCAGAGGCTGGGCGTCGCCTGGGACCCACCCAGGAGCTGGGCGTCGCCTGGGACCCAACCAGAGGCTGGGCGTCGCCTGGGACCCACCCAGGAGCTGGGCGTCGCCTGGGACCCACCCAGGAGCTGGGCGTCGCCTGGGACCCACCCAGGAGCTGGGCGTCGCCTGGGGCCCAACCAGGAGCTGGGCGTCGCCTGGGACCCACCCAGAGGCTGGGCGTCGCCTGGGACCCAACCAGGAGCTGGGCGTCGCCTGGGACCCACCCAGAGGCTGGGCGTCGCCTGGGACCCAACCAGAGGCTGGGCGTCGCCTGGGACCCAACCAGAGGCTGGGCGTCGCCTGGGACCCACCCAGGAGCTGGGCGTCGCCTGGGACCCAACCAGAGGCTGGGCGTCGCCTGGGACCCACCCAGGAGCTGGGCGTCGCCTGGGACCCACCCAGGAGCTGGGCGTCGCCTGGGACCCACCCAGGAGCTGGGCGTCGCCTGGGGCCCAACCAGGAGCTGGGCGTCGCCTGGGACCCACCCAGAGGCTGGGCGTCGCCTGGGACCCAACCAGGAGCTGGGCGTCGCCTGGGACCCACCCAGAGGCTGGGCGTCGCCTGGGACCCAATCAGAGGCTGGGCATCGCCTGGGACCCACCCAGGAGCTGGGCGTCGCCTGGGACCCAACCAGAGGCTGGGCGTCGCCTGGGACCCACCCAGGAGCTGGGCGTCGCCTGGGACCCACCCAGGAGCTGGGCGTCGCCTGGGACCCACCCAGGAGCTGGGCGTCGCCTGGGACCCACCCAGGAGCTGGGCGTCGCCTGGGACCCAACCAGGAGCTGGGCGTCGCCTGGGACCCACCCAGAGGCTGGGCGTCGCCTGGGACCCAACCAGAGGCTGGGCATCGCCTGGGACCCACCCAGGAGCTGGGCGTCGCCTGGGACCCACCCAGAGGCTGGGCGTCGCCTGGGACCCAACCAGAGGCTGGGCGTCGCCTGGGACCCAACCAGGAGCTGGGCGTCGCCTGGGACCCACCCAGGAGCTGGGCGTCGCCTGGGACCCAACCAGAGGCTGGGCGTCGCCTGGGACCCAACCAGAGGCTGGGCGTAACATGGTGCCTGCCTCGTCCAGGATATGATGACGAGCGCGTCTGAATGACGCACAAGTGGGGCGGAAGGAAGACATTAACAGACAGACTGACACACACACATGTACATACAAACACACACACACACACACACACACACACACACACACACACACACACACACACACACACACACACACACACACACACACACACACACACACACACACACATGTACATACAAACACACACACACACACACATGTACATACAAACACACTCACACTATACAAACACTATTACCCATCCACTTGGACTGAACGGTAGTCCAACGGTCCCGCTTCATGCAGGTCGGTGTTCAGTTCCCGACCGTCCAAGTGGTTGGGCACTATTCGACTGCCCTTCCCTCCCTCCGTCCCATCCCAAATAGTTTTCCTCATCTCTCCCAAGTGCTATATAGTCATAATGGCTTAGCATTTTTTCCTGATGATTTCCTTAACACCCTCCCCCCCCCCCTAAACACACAGTGCTTGTGTGTGTGTGTGGCCTCGTGGCTGAGTGGATAGCGCTCGGGATTCGTAGTCCAAATGGCCTGGGTTTGATCCCCGGCGCAGGCGGAAACAAATAGGAAGGGTTTCTTTCACCCTAATGCACCTGCTCACTTACCAGTAAATAGATACCTGGGAGTTAGACAGCTGCTACGAGCTGCTTCCTGAGGATATGTGCGTGTTTGCTAGAGAGAGAACTATATGTAATACAGTTGGCCCGGAACCAGAAGACAGGCAGGTCAGGATGTACCCCTCATCCTGTCAGACTTAGGCCTAGTCTGAAGATCTAGCCTTTAGTGTGACTAATAACTCAGCTGCAGCGACACTAAGTGTGCAGCGACCTGACTACCAACTGTGGTAGGTTGTGGATGGCTAGACTGGCCAGAAATTAAGGCAGACATTAATTGAATGGCAGCATCTGAGCTCACTGAGGGGGCAACCTGCTCTCGTACAACACAGCACATATATGACTTATTGTTTATAGTCACTATTTTGCTTATAAATAAGTAAATATGTGACTTATTCCAAGCCTTATTTTTTTCAAGGCGTTTTTCTCTCAGTTTTATTAAACAATAGAGATTTTATACAAAATTTGACAATATCCTGAGTTACTTTACAATTTATTTAAATATTTTAGTTTTTATTATTTTCATAAAACTGTAATATCAATATAAGTATAGGTTCACCACTAATTGTAATATCTTAACATACTAAGAAGGTTAGGTTAGGTTGTGGTTTTCTATTCAGCTTTTCAATGTAAACTAAAATATTCACAATAAATTAATATGTCACATATGCACTTATTCATAAGCAAGATATTGACTATAAGCAAGTGCGAGAACGGGTTAGCGAGGAACACGTGAGGACAGTGGGTCGCCTACAGGAGTACCTGGTTCCAGGTACCCCTCGTGAGTAAAATAGTCCTTGTGCCCTCCCTCCCCAACGTCGTGGTCTGTGTGTGCGACTGGTGTGTTTACACCAGGGACCGTACAGTGTAGTGCCACTACACTGCTTGTGAAAACTGTATTACCATAGTGCCTTGAAGGTGTCTATATGTGTGTGTGTGTGTGTACTCACCTAATTGTGCTTGCGGGGGTTGAGCTTTGGCTCTTTGGTCCCGCCTCTCAACCGTCAATCAACTGGTGTACAGATTCCTGAGCCTACTGGGCTCTATCATATCTACATTTGAAACTGTGTATGGAGTCAGCCTCCACCACATCACTTCCTAGTGCATTCCATTTACTAACCACTCTGACACTGAAAAAGTTCTTTCTAATGTCTCTGTGGCTCATTTGGGTACTCAGCTTCCACCTGTGTCCCCTTGTTCGCGTCCCTCCAGTGTTGAATAGTTCATCCTTGTTTACGCGGTCGATTCCCCTGAGGATTTTGTAGGTTGTGATCATGTCCCCCCTTACTCTTCTGTCTTCCAGTGTCGTAAGGTGCATTTCCCGCAGCCTTTCCTCATAACTCATGCCTCTTAGTTCTGGGATTAGTCTAGTAGCATACCTTTGGACTTTTTCCAGCTTCGTCTTGTGCTTGACAAGGTACGGCCTCCATGCTGGGGCCGCATACTCCAGGATTGGTCTTACATATGTGGTGTACAAGATTCTGAATGATTCCTTACACAGGTTCCTGAACGCCGTTCTGATGTTAGCCAGCCTCGCATATGCCGCAGACGTTATTCTCTTTATGTGGGCTTCAGAAGACAGGTTTGGTGTGATATCAACTCCTAGATCTTTCTCTCTGTCTGTTTCATTAAGAACTTCATCTCCTATTCTGTATCCTGTGTCTGGCCTCCTGTTTCCACTGCCTAGTTTCATTACTTTGCATTTACTTGGGTTGAACTTCAACAGCCATTTGTTGGACCATTCACTCAGTCTATCTAGGTCATCTTGTAGCCTCCTACTATCATCCTCTGTTTCAATCCTCCTCATAATTTTTGCATCGTCGGCAAACATTGAGAGGAACGAATCTATACCCTCTGGGAGATCATTTACATATACCAGAAACAGTATAGGTCCAAGGACTGACCCCTGCGGGACTCCACTTGTAACGTCTCACCAATCTGAGACCTCACCCCTCACACAGACTCGTTGTCTCCTGTTGCTTAGGTACTCCTCTATCCACCGGAGTACCTTCCCTCTCACTCCAGCCTGCATCTCCAACTTTCGCACTAGCCTCTTGTATGGCACTGTATCAAAGGCTTTCTGACAATCCAAAAATATGCAGTCTGCCCACCCTTCTCTTTCTTGCCTTATTTTTGTTGCCTGGTCGTAGAATTCAAGTAACCCTGTGAGGCAGGACCTGCCATCCCTGAACCCATGTTGATGCTGTGTTACAAAGTTCCTTCGCTCCAGATGCTCCACTAGTTTTTTTTCGCACAAACTTTTTTCAAACAAACTTTCGCACAAACTTTTCGCACTTTTTTTGTGTGTGTGTGTGTGTGTGTGTGTGTGTGTGTGTGTGTGTGTGTGTGTGTGTGTGTGTGTGTGTGTGTGTGTGTGTGTGTGTGTGTGTGTGTGTGTGTGTGTGTGTGTGTGTGTGTGTGTGTGTGTGTGTGTGTGTGTGTGTGTGTGTGTGTGTGTGTGTGTGTGTGTGTGTGTGTGTGTGTGTGTGTGTGTGTGGAGGTAGAGTGCAGTGTATAAGACATACCACCCAAGAACACATGAAATGAGCCGCAGCAGTAAATGGTGATAACCATGAGTCAGTACAGACAACAGCAAGAAGTGAGCATGGCGAGTACTAACCGCTCCAGCCTGGGGGAGTATAACCTCCCGGGCCCCTCCAGCCTGGGGGAGTTAACCCACCCCGGGCCCCTCCAGCCTGGGGGAGTATAACCTCCCGGGCCCCTCCAGCCTGGGGGAGTATAACCTCCCGGGCCCCTCCAGCCTGGGGGAGTATAACCTCCCGGGCCCCTCCAGCATGGGTGGAGTTACCCCACCCAGGGCCCCTGCAGCCTGGGGGAGTATAACCTCTCGGGCCCCTCCAGCATGGGTGGAGTTACCCCACCCAGGGCCCCTGCAGCCTGGGGGAGTATAACCTCTCGGGCCCCTCCAGCATGGGTGGAGTTACCCCACCCAGGGCCCCTGCAGCCTGGGGGAGTATAACCTCTCGGGCCCCTCCAGCATGGGTGGAGTTACCCCACCCAGGGCCCCTGCAGCCTGGGGGAGTATAACCTCTCGGGCCCCTCCAGCATGGGTGGAGTTACCCCACCCAGGGCCCCTCCAGCATGGGTGGAGTTACCCCACCCAGGGCCCCTGCAACAGTGATGAGGGAAGTGGAACTATAACAGAGGATGAAGATGGCTACCAAACATGCAGATCCAGAGCAAGTAAGAGATGGGACAAGGTGAGGCGTCTGGCTGAATTAGGTCAGCAGCAGCAGTAACATCAGCAACAACAAGCCAAAGATGGTGAATGGTTCATTTTAATCTTCTATGAAACAGACATGAGATTAGCAGACAAGTTTAAATGGATCATCAAGGCTGCCCACACCACAAAGAACACCGCAATGAGAGCGAATTTGCAGGTAGCAGCGTCGTTGTACGGATGTGTGAAGACAGCCGGGAAGTTCTTCACAGAGAATGACCAGAAGTATGAAGGTAATAGTTTCAAAGTGTTGGAAGCAAGCTCATAGCCCAGACGGACCAAAATTATAATTAGGAACTACAGTATCCAGGCTGATGTTGGGTATATTCAAGACCTCCCCCAGATCATCTGGGCCAAACGCAACATGGGACCTGGGCGAGTGCCAAAAAAGAAAGCAATTGCTCTGTGGGAGAGAGAGCTGCCCGCTCCCATTACAGTACCGGGCATAAGGCTATGCTGAGTGGAACGGTATATTGGCAGCCCGTCCTTATGCGGCAAGTGCCAATGACGGACCCACAGAACATGGCACTGTGATGGCTGAACTAGGAGAGGGTGTTGGAACGGCTTTCATGACACTGTATGTCTGAAAAAAGATTAATGATAGTTTCACTGTAACACCCAAATGTGTCAACTGCAAGCACTCCCACCATACTTGGAATCAGTACTGCAGAATGAGACTTGTTTAGCAAGGCCCAACACGATCGCCGATTCAGGTTCCAGGTGAACCAGTTGATAGGGGGAACCCAAGGTGGGTCAGAGAATCATACCTGGAGCATGAGCAGTGTAGTCAGCCACCATCACTCCCTCATCCCTGAAGTCTTTCCACATTTTTCACTACCCAGAATCCCACCCACTCACACTTCACTCTCTACCCACGATGTCACACCACCACCCAACCCCTACCACTGAACTAGACATCTCCACCGCCTCCCAGTTACCTCTGCCCCCCCCCCCCCCACCCGTGCTCCACTGCCCCACCAGCCGGTTCCCAGCCTGGCCCTAAACAGGTCGTCACTCTGGCTTGTATCAACGCAATACAACGCCATATGATACGAAATCACCCAGTCGTCCACCAAATATTGCAGAAGCAAAAAGAACTTGAGAACGCCCTCTGCTAGGTTAAGACTTGACAACTCAAGACCAAATCCTCA